TTAACACACATAAAACTAAAAGCTTTAACATTTTCAATAATGCACTGGAACATTGATGTCCTGTCTATTCCAGCTACTAGTTTCTTTCACCTGCTGCCAGGAAGCATAATGCTGAAATATTAGTAATGGATTTCCAACACTAATCCCATTTTTCATGATAAAAAGAGAAAGACATACTTCCAGAAGCTAAAATTATAAAGTATTTCACTTTAGAAGGCCTATACTTGCACAGCCAGTAGCCTGACCTCTGTCAAATTGTTTAACAGAAACCTCATCAAATCCTTGTAATAAACTAAGTCAATGGTGCAGAAAGACTTTGCATTAAAGCTCTAAAAAGAATAAAAAACTGTCAGTTACTAATACATTAGCCCTATCCTCCAAAAACATTTATGGTTTTCCTGAGGGACACTAACTGAACTATTGAAATTCCTCAAGATGGGAAACTGAAAGTTTGAAACTGTAAAGCAGCAGACAGGTGTAAGAAGGTAGTACTTCAAAAGCTTATTTTAAGTCCCTAGACACAGTTTAGAGAGATTATATGTCCTGATGCCTCATTGTAATCACTATAAAATTACTTCAGAGAAATAATTATCTTTTCTCTTAACTTGAAAAAAGAATGCTTAGATATTAACAAAAGAAATGCTATACTTGCCATTTATAACCCTCTTACACTGCAGCATCTTTATATCAATCAGCTCCTGAGAAGAAAGAATAAAAATATCTCAGTGAGTTGAAGTGTTTAAACTACCCAGCTATAAACAGTTCCCATTTTATTAAATAAGAATATCTACCTAGGGATACCAAATACAGAAAAAGAATGCAAATGAAAACAAGAGTTTAACTATACAACATGCTTAATTGAAGTTTCAAAATACAAATCAAACATATGAACATAAGAATATTATACGTTTACATAGTTCTAGAAGAACCATTTTGTTTAAGTACCTATCTAGCAAGCTGGAAACAAAGCAGAACGAGCCACCTAGAGTGGAAGGGGAAGATAATGTTATAGCAACAGACCACCTCAAAAATTAATGTAGATTTGTACTGGCCAAGCACACAGGTGAACAAACCAGCAGTATTAGGCTCTAAGACTTCTTTATCCTAACCCTGAGTTTTAACAGTTCTCTACATTTGTTAAAAGAAAAAATTAGTCTTTGTGTTGACCTTTACTGGAGACCAAACATAGAGTCATCATTCTTCTAGAATTGATGGCTTTTCTACATATATTAGCTTAACTGCAGATTTATGCAGTTCAATTTTTTAAGGACACCATTTGAGTCTTTTTCTCTTATGCATCTCATCAACTTGATTATAGGTGAGCTTTAAGACAAACTGACTACCTTCAATTGACAAAGGGCTACAGCTTGAGCCAATATAACTTATTAGCTGCTGTCCTGGTTTCAGCTGGGATAGAGTTAATTTTCTTCCTAGTAGCTGGTACAGTGCTATGTTTTGGGTTCAGTATGAGAAGAATGTTGATAACACACTGATGTTTTCAGTTGTTGCCAAGTAATGTTTAGTCTAAAGTCAAGGATTTTTCAGCTTCTCATGCCCAGCCAGCAAGAAGGCTGGAGGGGCACAAGAAGTTGGGAGGGGACACAGCCAGGACAGCTGACCCAAACTGGCCAAAGCGATATTGCATACCATGTGACTTCATGCCCAGTATATAAACTGGGGGGAGTGCTACTGGGGGGAATTGCAGCTCAGGAACAAAGTGGGCACCAGGCTGTGAGCAATTGCATTGTGCATCACTTGTATATTCCAATCCTTTTATTATTGTCATTTTATTATTATTATTATCATTATTATTTCTTCCTTTCTGTTCTATTAAACTGTTCTTATCTCAGCCCATGAGTTTCTCTTTTTCTTCCAATTCTTTCCCCCATCCCACTGGGGGCAGCAGAGGGAGAGTGAGTGAGCGGCTACCTGGTACTTAGGTGCTGGCTGGGGTTAAACCACGGCAGCTACCGAAATAAATATGCAACTGTTATTCCAACTGTTATATAAATAGAGAAAAAAACCCACCATACTATTGTGTTAGTTACTTGAAGAGGTTTAGTCTACTATAGACTCTTTGCTTTAGCAAGTAATACAAGGTTTAAGACCTCCTGATTTATAGGTAAGGGATAAACAAGCAATAAATTAGGCTAATCTCAATCTGTTTGCAGTATACCATAGGTCTCATGAGTAGTGCTTTTAATTTAAGTTTTTAACTAATACTCCTTATCAAGTACTGTTCACATTAAGTTCTGAAACAGCTTTGAGATCCAAAATGTTAAGGGGGCTGGGGGGAAAGGATTGGAAAACAAAAGGATAAATCAGAAAATGAAGTTTTACCATACAGAAATGAAGTTACAAATTGCACTTATCCAGGCCATTCCATTGCCAAACAACTGCAGTACAGCTGCCTACAACAACTCTATTTTATACTAACTTGTCAGTTCTTAAGAAAAACCTACATAGTTTTTCTGATAAAACCCATTAAGACAGCTATCTAACTGCAAACACTAATCCATGTCAAAGGCATATTAACTCTACTGTTTCTCAACAGCAATGTGGAAAAAAGAAAAACCAATGAAGAAGACCTGATTTTTGAGGTGAGATGAGGAAAACTACAACATGTTTTTAGCTGTAAGAATAACCTTCACACTACAAGTTTTGTTACATACTGCAACTTGTTAAGTAAGTTTGAGGGTCTCTTCTTTTGAGGTACTGTTTCTCTGGAATTGGAGCAAAAAGTGTGCATGAAAGACAAACTGCTTTAGCTGTACAGTTTACACCGCTGGATTAAATACCTTCTCATACCCTGTGACTTCAGCAGTAAGCAAAGCAATACATTTGTGCATGTGGTTTGTTGTGGTTTTTGGTTGTTTTGGTTTTTTTTTAAAGAAAAAAACCAACACAATTTCTACATTACTACCTTCCACTAATTTCCTGTACAATGGCCCTGTCAAACCTGTGGTTAATGAAATGCAGTAGCTGCTCAGTAACAAGGTTCTTTGCTACTACTAATAAGCATAAGGGATACTGGAAAAGTACAAAGGCTGTCTGAAGCCTGACTCACTTTAGCGTTTAAGACTTCTAGATTCTGTAACTCTATGCTTGTGATTTCTCTATACATGATCTACAGTTAGCCTCCCAGAGAAGGAAAAAAAAAAATATTCTCACTTAATCCCATGTAAAGCAGAGAGGTCATAATTCATCAACTGGGAAACTGATAATTATTGTTTGTCAAAGAAGAAAAACACCTTATTACTCCCAATTTTACAACAGACAGTGGTAACTATTCTACTGAATTTTGAGATTTTTTTTATTGAATCATCCAGCAGTAATTACTCTTTCACACAGAGCCGATCTAATAAAATACCATTTGTAATTCTAGAAGCTAGAGACAAAATGTGAGCTGTGGCCAAGACAAAGACAGCATATTGTCTCTCTGAGAACAAATCTTTCCTTTCATCTCCCCCAAAAAGGGTAGTGAGCTAACTCGCAAGAGAACGGCTGTGAAGGTTCCAGGAGAACATCATAAATGACTGATTCTGACAGTTTGTTTCAGTATGTTCTATTGTAACAGATCAAACATTCTCCAGGAAAGCCAGTATTTAAGCCATGTTTACATTATTTTTAACTCTTTACTGTTTCGTTGTTTGGATGTTTTTTTTAAAATCTTGGCCGAGTCACGTAACTTGTAACAGTGCCTACATTTCAGAAGAGCTAATAATAGCACTGAAGGGGAAAATGGGAATACTGATGCACTGCAAGGATAAGGATAGTGAAGACTAGCAGTCCTACCAATAACATCTGCACCAAACTGGAGTCTCAACTTCAGGCGGCTTTAAGAAAAGTGGTTAAGCAACAAGGACAGCAGTGCTGTGAGGAGTATATATGGATGCCCTGGGTTAGCACAGCAGTAATAACTGGGTGAGAGGGTAGGTCAGCCTAAAACTTCCTTCAATGTTATGACTCTACTCAAAAAAAAAAAAAAACAACAAAAAAAACAACCAGAAAAAAACCCAAACAAACAAAAAACCCCAGAAAAACGCAAGAAAAACCAAAACACCATGGAATGTGAGGAAATTGTTATGGTGAGTGTTTTGTCTAAATGAATTGAAGTTACTGAACAGTCTTAAAATATGGTTTTGCCATAACTTGAGGACTGCTGAAAGGGAAATGCCTTAAGCCATAGAGATTCTTTTTCCCCCCATTTTTCTAATGAAAAATATATATAAAAGGAAAAAGTCCTACAATAAACAAAGTCTATTTGTACTTTTCTTAATAATAATGTTATCAGATAAGACTGCCTCATCTGCTCATCCTTCATACCTCACAGTACACGATATCAGCACCATAGTCCAGAGCAAGAAGACGCATTGGTAATGTTCCCACTCGCACCATTGGAGCCAGGATCTTCTTTCCTCTAAAACACAGAGGCGTGTTCACCGTCATTCCTGTTGCGGTACTAGCTGAAAGAGAAAATCAAGGGGCATAGCCACGGAAGAGTTTCCTACCCGTGAACGCCCAGAACTTTCCTTTGGCGGGAAGGGGGAGCTGGGGGAGTGCGTGACCCTGCCAAACCTGACAGGGTTCCCTTGGTAGCTGGCAGGCCGGCTGCTCCACCGCTGCCGTCTCAGCTCCCGCGGCCCTGGCGCCACTCGCGTGGAGCCGTGAGAGAGCTCAGCGGCGCCCTGAGGCGTCGGGCGCCTCCGGCGGCCCCGGGGGGGGGCGCTCCCCGCCGCACCGGCTCCTTCCCCTGAGCGAGGGGCGCCGGGCCGCCTCTGCCACAGCCCCGCGGGGCTACGTTTGCTCCCGCGGGGCGCGGCACGGGCGAACGTGAAGGGGCCGCCGTCGCCGCCTCCTGAGGTACCGGCCCCCCCCCTCCGTGGGACTCACCCTCCTCGCGTGGCTCCGCCGCGGCTCCGGGGGGCGGGGAGAACCGGGGGAAGCGTCTCTTCACGGCGTCATCGGGCGGCGCCGCCGCCGCCACGTGAGACGCCGCCATGGCGCTGAGCCGCGGCGGGATGGCGGCTCCCCTCCCGCTGCTGCTGCCGCGGCGGCTGGCGGCGGGCGCGGAACCCCCCGCGAACGTGGTGCGCGTCCCCTGGGCCCTGCGGCTGCGCCTGCAGCGGGGCGCGCAGCGCCGTCGGCGCGGGCAAAAGGAGGCGGCGGCGGCGGCGGCGCAGCCCGGGAAGCTGCTGCTGCGGAGCCGGCGGCCAGAGCTGAGCCAGCCCCGCTGGCAGACGGTGGGGCGCTGGGAGCGGCCGCAGCTAGTGTCGGCGGGCTGGAAGCACAGGAAGGCCTGCGGGGACTACTTCCAGCTGGAGCCCTCGCAGGAGGCGGCTCCCGCCCTGCAGGCGCCGCCGCCGCCGCCGCCTGACGCGGAG